AAAAAAAAAAAAAAGAATGTGATGGATCAGTCCATCATGAAGAAGAACAAACAAAGATAAATCTCTGCTGGAAAGGAGCGGTAAAAAAAAAAAAATGTCCAAATACACTTAAAAATGTAATCATTGAGTTCACACAATGTATACCTCCAGAAGACAAAGTCAAATGTGTTTTAGTTTCGTCTCAGAAAGTATTCTAATAAACTAAAACAAAATGTTTTGAAATGTAAAAAGAAAACAAACAAAACCCAAAATATTCACAAATAAACAAAATAAAAAACAAAACAACCAACCAAAACGCTTTCTATTTCTTGATGTACTTTCTTCACCTGGTCTCTGAGCCACTGCCTCTCCCTTCTCCCTGGCCATGCCCTCTCAGGTTCCTTTGCTGGTTCTTCCTTATCTTCTTGACCTCTAAATAGTATAGGACCTCAGGGCTCAGTCCTTCATCCTTTGGCTCTATCTACGCTAACTCTTACGATTCTTTCATCCAGTCTCAAGGCTTCAAATACTTTATATTACTGTTGACTTTTAAAAAATTTCTAGCCCTAACTGTTGTCCTCAACTCAAAACTTGAACTCCAACTGCCTATTTGAGAACTCTTTTGCCCAAAGAATAAAACTCTAAGCAGGTATTTCCAAAAACTTTTAGAAATCCTTTCTTCAGCATTGCAAATAAACAGATTAAATATAAATTAAGGATCAGTAATTCAAGAACAAAACAGATACAAATAATTTGCTACATATAAGTGTTTCCTGACTCAGGGACCTCAAGACACCCTAAGATGTTATGAGAGATGTTCTCATCCTGAATGAAAGGTAGTAATGTACAGGTGTTAAGGGCATTTGACTCTGGAGCAGTTGGCTTGGTTTAAATTCTGATTCTACCATATTCTAGCTGTGGCAGTTTGTGTTTATGCCCTTAACTGTAAAATGGAGATTATAATAATAGTACCTACCTTACAGGGTTATTGTAGGGCTTAATGAATTGGTAAATGTGAAGAATGTAGTTAATGTCTGGCACACGTTGCTACATGAGTGCTTGCTTTTATTGTTGTTATCGTCTAACTATACATACATGAGATGTCTTGCATTCCTCAGTGATCATGCTGATGCCAGACTTTTTCTTCCTTTCTTGTGCCCATTTGAATGGGAGGGGCACAAAGGGAGCTGGTGTCAGGGTACTCAAGTAGGAAAGATTAGTCTGAAGAATAGGAGGCTCAGTATCTACAAAGCCAGGCTCTGTTACTCTAGAATGTTACTGCATAATGTTGATACTCTGTCAACTGCTAGACACTGTCTTCTTTGGACAGATTGTTCTGTCCTTCCATTGCAGAGAAACCACACAGTCTCTAAAGAAAAACGTCACAATTACCATGTGTCAGGCAATAGTACTGTTCTATTCAATTTATACATAGTAATTGACTTAATCCTCACAACAATGGCATGAGATAGATTTTACCATATATTTATTATAATCTTCATTTTACAGATGAGGAAACTAAGGCATACAGAGGTTATTTGTCTCAGGTTTAGTAAGTGATGGAATCATGATTCAAACCTAAGCATTCCTGCTCAGGCTTTCTACTGGTAACGACAACTATACTCCTTAGCTATCAAATGCCATTCTTCCTGTAACAGCCCTTTCAATTTAAAATGCATTCTGCTGTGAAATAATAAGTTAAATTCACAGAATACATAATGATGGTTGAAGAACTGCAACTAACAGGAGATAACAGGAAAAGCAAAGCCTAAAGTCAAAGAGGGTTTAGAAACTGCTCCATGAGTATTAAGTCCCTGCTGCACTCATGTATGCCTATCTGGTACACATGGCCAGCTTTGAGAATATGCCAGCATACAAGTGCTGCCAGGGTCACTCATCAGTGCTGCCAAGGCACTAGTTTTGTACTTTCAAGGAGAAATATTTATTGTATGCAGTCCTTCTCTCTAAAGTGAAAATCTTCATTGGTCCTATCTGAAATGTTTATCCTGGAATGATTAACACTACCTTAAGATTATAACCTTTTTTCAGTCTTAAAGTATGTGTATGTATTTACACGTGCAACTATCAAGATTCTAACTTCTTAGAGTCTGAACTCCCATTCCCTAAGTTTACCTCTACTCCTATGCTCTCAAGTCAACAGCTTGTTTTGAAATAAATGGACAAGTGACACATGCAGAAAATTGTTCTATGGCAGGGAGAACAATCAGGCTGTATATGATTAATACATAAAGGAGATACAGCTGTGGAAAATAATTTCAAAGCGCCCACAATGAATTACTCTAGACTTTATAATAACCTGGTGGAAAGTCATAAAAATAAACTTGAAAGAAAGACTATAGTAAGGAAGAAAAAAAAAATCTTCAAGATAGTCAAGGCTAAAAATGATATCCAATTTTAGCATGATGAAAATTCCTTTGCTTACAAAGAATTTGCCATGTGCTAGACTGAACTGGTTAGTCAAAAGATAAATAATGCATAGAGATCCTTTCTGCACTATTAACAAGATCATATTAAAAGGACATATCTTAATTTTTTTTTTAAAGCATTTTCCTGTCTGGGAAGTTTTTACACTTAAGTTAGACATAAAGTACTACGGAAATGAAAATTGCTGTTCTAAAATGTTATCTTTATTTTTCAGTAAATCTTTTGGCAACTAAGAAACATCTCCTGGGACTGCTGCAAAAAGCACATATGGATTGATTCTAATAAGTCAAATGCTAACAGAGACTCCAGATCAGACACTGGAGTTTTATAGTTAAAACAAATCTAAATAATGCTTACTGAGGCTACTACTCTTTTAAGAAAAAAAAAAAAAGCTATGGAAAAAGATGTGTTGTAAAAACAATTGATCTGTAAAAGGAATATTTGTAAAGGAAATTCCATTTTCCATTACTTGTAATGTCAGAGAATTATTTCCCATAAAAAAGTTCCTCCAGAGGGTTTAAGCTGAGCAATTCATGTAAGAGAGAAGCTAAAGAGAGTTCACTGAAGGGCAGATGTGGTCTTGGTACTGACCAGATGGGAGTGGTAAGCCCCTAGTGAATCGCTCTTTTTTTGTAGTAAGTTCCTGCATCATTTGCCCATAATCAAATACAGTCTGTTAATCTCCATCTAGGGCAAGACATTCTGGCTTTGCTTAGAAATCTAGCAGTTTCTCATGTCCAGCTCTTACATATGTGGGTCCCTGCACAGGTTCTGGTCTTTATGATATACTTTTAAAATTACAATAAATAAAGGCAAGCCCACTAGAATTCAGATTCTACCAGCTACCAACTGGTCCTTGGGCAATTCAACTATGTATTTTGAACTTTAGTTTACTTATGTATAAGGTGGGCTGAAGTATGGATTAGAAGACACAATCCATATAGAAGCATTTGTAAGCTGTAAAACAACACACAAACAGTACACTATGTAAGCATTCGACATACTGGCTGAATGAATCAAATGTGTACTGTATTGTTAGATTTTCATGGCGCTTTATCAAATATGTAAAGCTGTCAAGACAACAGGTACATTTTAATAATGGTATATTTTATTTAATCCCACTTCTTCAAAATCTTTTTAAAGAGTTTATGTAATTAGATAGCAATAAACAAATTTTCCAATTTTTTATTTCACTTCTATTTCATTAATGTGCTCACCCTAAAAGCACATTATATTTTCAAAACTGTCATTTGATACTATGTTGGCAGTTCAGGGGAAAAAAAAATGGAAAAAATGATAAATGATCTCTAGAACTCACATTGGCTCCTAATCTGAGCCAAACACCACCAGGTCTGGCATCAATGAACTCAATTCCTCCATTTGAAAGGTGTATAAGGGTGTATAAGTTTAGCTCTATGGGACTGCCTAGAGCAAAGGTGTTATAAATGTACCCAAGTACATCTGGTTTATAATGTCTTTGTCCTGTTCAACTGTGGAACTTGAACTACACACCCTTCCAAACACTGGTACAAACTCATTTTATCTTAAATATTTGGAAACCAGGGTCAGTAATTATTATTTTCACTTCCAATGTACTAAAAATTTCTCATTAAACCCACCTACTTGTGCATATACATGATATACATCTAATATACATTTTTTTGAAAGCCTAGTTACACTCTAGGTAGTTGGATCAAAATATAAAGTATGGGTAAGAACTGTATCATTCTCATACATTTAAATATCTTCTAATAAATGCTGAAAGTAATATGGGAGGACTGGGTAATTTTGATACGCAATAATTATTTGCTGACTGAATAAACAATGAAATGAATGAAGGCATATAGCTTTGCACTGTGCTTATGAAAAGCCACGTCCAGCACTACTTAAAAGGGTCATGTTCCTTTTGTGGACCTGCCTGTGTGGCTCAGCTGGTTCTCTCCCTCTCTGTGTAGGCCTCCCCTACCTCTGCCCTGTTGAACATTCTATGGTTTTATGTCTCACCTGGCCTTCAGATTTATATGTCCCATTTTTCTCTATTCTCAGCTATCCTGACTAGAACATTGCCTTTAAATCTGGTCATTCATTTAGGCAGTAAATTCCCCCTCCTCTGCAATGATCTGTTTCTAGGTCCTTACCTTACTTGCAAATCCAGATTATCAGTACTTTTGCAAACGAATGAACTAACAGTATAGATCCATAAACCAATCAGGAAAATCTTTCATCTTCCTGCCATCAAATATACAAATCTATCTGTATTAATACTTCCTTTTTATTTCACCTATTTTCTGTATCTCAATCACCTCTATGCTTGTATTATTACTGCTCTAACTCTAGCCTAGGGGAATGACCAGTAGGCAATCAAAATATTTATTGATAGAATGAATAAGCAGGCATGGGAAGATATTATTCTGGTCCTAAATTTTATGTAAAAAATTCCCAGCCTTTTTCTTTTTCAACAAACAAACAAACACACAAACAAACAAACAAACAAACAAACAAACAAACACACACACACCTTAAGCCTAGATAGAAATAATTACTTCTAGGGAGCATTCTGAAATAAAAAGTAAATTCAAAGCAAGCAAATTTTATCTAAAACTTTTTCTTTGGAACTTCTGATACCAACTTTAGAGAAAGCTTACTCACAATTTAAATGTGCTGATTCCAAAAAACTGGCTACCTCAAGCAATCAAACCATTTAAGTTATTCTTTGAATCCTACCCTAAGGTCGACAATCCGACTAGACTTCACATGCCAAATGAAGCACTTTGGATACAGAACAAGGAAACTATAATGCTCCACATTTCTCCATTATAAATTTGGTTTCCTGAAACCAGAGGATAAGGCTAAAATCCATCATCTTCTAGAAATGACCACTCAGGTATGATAAAAAGCAGAATATGCTAAGTTTCCATTTCTCTGTCCAATTCCCAAGAATCTCACATCCTATAATAGACTTTATTAATCTTGATCTCCTTTGCATCAATAAAATGTCAGTGCTAAAAAGCTATAACAACCAGGAAATAATTTTGAGCAATTTTGACTTTCCTGTTGAGAACTATTCTGGCCCACTAGTCACAAGGGATAAAAAGCAGGGAAACTTCATAAAATCCTTCTTTTTACAATGCCAGCTTGGAGGTGCTCCAGGAGCAAGTCTTTTGGGGTTCATGTGTGTGGTATAAAGATTAGGGAAAAGCAAAAAGCATGAGAACAAATGGAAAATGCTTACGGTGGACTCTGCACTAACTTAGCAAGTATGGCCTGTGCCTTACCAAACACATTCACACATACCAAAAAGGTAAGAAATGAAAGCATTCAGGAAAGAATGAGTGGTGCATACAAAATGGAAACAAGGTTCCCTGGACATAAGAAGATGATTTAGGGATTCAAGCAAAAAAAGGAGCAAGAGAAGCTGGCTTTTAGTTATAATTAAGCAGAATAAATGCAAAAGGGATAAAATGAAATATAGACGTGTTTTGTATATTTGAGCAGAAAAAGCTTTTATATAATTTCATGTACAGATTTTTAAAAATTATACATATATCAACACAAACATATAAACAAATTCATTTATACTTTAATTCTTCATAGCCTTTGCAGAGAGAGACCTAGAGTAGATGTGTTATTAAAAAAAAGCAGTGAAAGCACATAATAAAGTGATTATTCTTCTTTCTATTTCCTCTTATCCTTTTACAGAGTCAATGTGACTGGCTCTAAGGATACTTCTCAGAAAGGAATCCCCAAGAAACTTAAATTAACCACATTACCGGAAGTCTCCTATAATAAAACAGGGCATGCCGACCCTTCCCAATCTGATCAGTGACTGTACCCCAAAATAAAGACTTGCTTATAAGCCACTAAGGGAGCTACACAAAAACAAGTAATTTTAAAAGAATAATTAGTGTATATTGTTTCCACCCATCTCACCTCTTTCTTCAGATTCCATTGAAAACTACCAAAATGGGCTGGCTTACCTATTTTTTTAACTTCTTCTGCAAAGTATGGGTCATTCAAATCAACATCAGAAGGAAGTTCATCTTCACTGGCCTCTTCAGCAAGAGCCTTAAAGTTGAATGCAAAAATAGGTACAGTTTCATTATTCTAAAAATGTATGTATGTGAAGAAAAATCATGTATATTTCTTTTACATCAAGTAGTTCAGTCTAAAATTAAACTAGTTTTTTAAATGGTTCAGTTTATAAAATAATTCCCACCTAACTCATTATTTTGTTGGTCAAACAAATAATTATGGACTATGTAATAAATGCAGGAAACTATGTAGGGCTTTTAGGGGAAATCGAGTTATACATGGTTTCTGCCCTCAAAAATTTTATAATCTGGCTGGATGCAGTGGCTCACGCCTGTAATCCTAGCACTCTGGGAGGCCGGGGCGGGAGGATCACTCAAGGTCAGGAGTTTGAAACTAGCCTGTGCAAGAGCGAGACCCTGTCTCTAGCTGGGCATGGTGGCACATGCCTGGAGTCCCAGCTACTTGGGAGGCTGAGGCAGGAGGATCACTTGAGCCCAGGAGTTTGAGGTTGCTGTGAGCTAGGCTGTCGGCACGGCACTCTCCCTGGAGCAACAGAGTGAAACTATGTCTCAAAAACAAACAAATAAAAAAAAACCTATAGAGTTGGAAGGGATCTGTTGGAGTCATCAAGTCCAGTACAAAGCACTGATTCTAGAACATCCTGGATACTCAATAATTGTATTTTGAATATTGTTGATAAAATGAGACTTAGACAAATGAAGGGAAAAAGTAAAAGCCCAAGATAAGCTCAAAGCTTCTAGCAAATGAAAATCAAATAATATAACTGCTACAAGTCTCAAAGTGACTACTTACTTTACTGACTCCATAAAGACCCACTTGAAAATTTTCCAATAAACTGATAGCTTAACCACTTGTGGAATTATTCCATTTAAAAGATATTTTACTGCCTACTTAGTTTAAAAGGAACCTCTAGGGAAGATGAAAGCGCATCAATGGGGGTAGGGATTTTACCCCATTTCTCCATTTTACTATCCATTTCCACATACAATGATTACAGTAGAAATACAAAAACTACTCCTTTGCATCATTCAACTTTGTAGCCCTCTACCATTACAGCACTAAAAATCATAGCTGTACCAAAAGCACCGTAAGCTCACACAGTATAGAGAGAAACAGTATATAGTACACTAGAAAGAACATTGAACTGAGAAAGCATGGATTCTGGTCTCAGCTTGGCCAGTGGCATGCTGTGTAACCTCAGACAAATCACCTAGTTTTCTACAACTATGAAACAACACAGTCGGACTAGCATTAATCATTCGAGATTCCCCAAGTTGTAAAATTTTTTTAGTATCAATAATAACAGTGTAAGGTAATGACACCACTGCCAGAATGCTGCATTTTTCAGTGACCAGATAAGAGTATTTTTTTGGTAGGAAAAATCGTAAGTGGTCTCCACTATTACTAAGGACTCTAACTCTGAAAAGATGTTACCCCTGAACAGTGGGAATCAAATCATATTTTCCAATATTAACATAGAGGAAATACTCTTGATAAAGGGATTTGATGACAATAGATGTTAAAAGAGTCATATGATAATACTTCAAAAATACAGATTGAGAAATAGAAACGTATAGCATAATTTCACTGTTAAAAACTTCTACATGACTATATCCTCAAGTAAAAGTCTCTTACTCAAAAACACATAACAGAATCATACTGCTTTATATCTAGACATCACCTAAACTATCTATTTCATTTATGTAGCACACAGATGTAAAATGTTAGGGTACAGCAGTTATAGTGGCTCTGGACTCCTGCCAGGCTTTGTACACACCATTATGTAGTCTTGCTGAAAAGACTTACCCTATTGAATTCCTTCGTAACACTGGGATGACAACAAGGTTTACTCCAGTGAATGGTTACATTTTGTAATAATGATGCCAAGCACCAGTACCTTCTTTTTTATTGAGACAAGGTCTCTCTTGCTGGAGTGTAGTTGTATCATCATAGATCACTGCAACCTCAAACTCCTGAGCTTAAGTAATCCTCCTGCCTGAGTCTCCCAAAGTGCTAGGATTACAGGCATGAGCCACTGTGCCTGGCCCCTGGTACCTTCTGATACATGGTTGGTTCTAATTAACACCGATACCTTCTGTTTCTTTTTCAGTCTTTTTTTCTCTTTCTTCTTCTCTAAAAATTGTTCCCAAGGGGTCAGTTTATCCTTTCCTTCCAATTTGTTTTTGACCATCTCTTCTGCACTTTCTTTAAGACCTGAGGAAAAAATCCAAATAGTTCAGTTTAAAATGTCCTTTCAATCACTTAAAAGTCTAATTTATAAAAACAAAAGTAATTTACACATATGTAATACAGTAACAAGGTAAGTGCAGTAGTGAATGTCTGTAATACCCCGATATCACAGAGTGACATGGGATTGTTAAAGCTATTTCCTAACAACACATGATAATAAACCTAACCACATAAAATCAAAATAAACCAACAAACAAAACCCAGCAACTTGATAAATAGTCAAGCACTAAGAAAAAATACTTTAAGCTCAACCTTTGTTTCTCTATACTTGTTTTGACCCTCTAAGAAAAATTCTGAATAAAATCTTCTCAGGATATGACTACTAATTAATTTTTTTTTTTTTAGTAGCAAGAAACAAGTGCTTTCTCATGTCTTTAACATAATAATTATCTCTACTTGCTTCTGTCATCCAAGTGAAAGTCTGTGTTCCCTGAGAACTACAGGTTTTTAACAAAAACTGTTTAACAAGGCAATCCCAGTTGAAATACCCCATGAGAAAAGAATTCTCAATCTCTCCTTAAGTACTGTGTGAGGCTACATAGTTAAGATCAAAAAGACCACCAAGTTCAGATTCTCCTTGTTATGGTTTAGTTCTTACAATGCTGCTATTTGCTCTTATATTTCATCTCTAAAGTTCTTTGTTCCTATAGTGTGCTGCTGTTGATACATGTTTCTAGGTATCTTATGTGGTAACTGAAGAGGGGTTAGAGTGGGAGTAAAAAAGGGAGTAAAAAAGTAAAAGGTGGGAGTAAAAGCCCCAATGCTGATCTATCAGTCTTACGAAGACCCTCAACACTGCCAAAGTGAAGGAAATGTAAATAATATGCCATGTTGTTTGATAATAAAGATGTTTATTTTATTTTGTAGTATTTTTGGAGGACATGGTTGGGTGGGCCTTAAATATTTAGATGACATAATAAAATCCATTTAAAAATAATAAATAGAATGATTTCAGATGCTCTTTTAAAGAGAGACATAGCTAATCCAGATCATCTTCCCAGATACATTATAAATTCTAAGGAAGTAGAAACAATCCTAAAAATATTATAATTCTTTTTGTTGATGAGTATACAGAGACTGAAAACGTTTAGCAAGTTATCTAAGAACATGCAGGTAGAAAGCTGCACAGCTAGAATTTGAACTCCTGATCACCCTCTATACTATTACCAAATACATCTGAAATGATGGTTTGACCTAAACAATGAAGAAATGTATAGCCTAAAATAAAATCTAAAGGTTTGGGCCTCAGGTTCCTTATCTGGAAAATGAATGGTCTAGATCAGAACTATGCAACCTTTCCCTCCCACATGTACCTTTTCCCCCTCTCAAACAAAATATTTAGTATAATAGAAGTCCAAATATATAACATAAAAGTAGTGCTTTTGGGTCATGAGCTGCTCCCCAAAACAGTTTTAAACAGCTGGAATATATGATCTGTAAGGTACTTTCTTTGGTTTTTAACCTAAGACTTAATCTCCAAATTTCTACAACTTAGAAAAGTATTAAATTACACTCAAGGTTATGTAAGATTTGTTTTTATGACATACTGCTGTTAGAGTTTCTGATCTATTAAATGCCAAATTAGAAACACAACTTTCAATTCAAAAATGTTTTTTATGAAGAAAACACAATTTATTTTACTAAACAGCTTTCAGGAAAAATGTATATTATGTGAAATCATATCAGATCTCTGAATGATTCAACAGATAAACAGCACCTAAGAAATGTAAACTGGGATCTTCATTTGGGAAAAAGCAGCAAATTCTGATGAAGCAAACTGATTTCTAATGACAAAATAAAATAATTTATACATTATGCCTACTGGTCAGCACATAATCAGTTGTCTCAAATTTTAAAAGTACAGTATTATATTATTAGACATTAAATGATAATCTTTAAAGTAGTCTACATAAATATTTTATTACTTCAAAATATTAAATATCAATATTTTTTTCACCAAAAAACTATTTTCTGATTAATTTTGATCCTTGAAACTTAATTCTACTTCTACCTCAGCACATGTTAACGAAGGTTCTGTGTTCTCTCTTTTAAGTGACTAGAACACTGGTTTTTTGTTTTGTTTTTTTATTTTTTTGCTGGAGTGCAATGGCACCAACATAGTAACCTTGAGGGCTTAAGCAATCTCCCCACCTCAGGCTCCCAAGTAGCTGTAGGCCCAGCTAAGTTTTTAATTTTATTTCTGTAGCAATGGGATTTTGCTATGTTGTCCAGGCTGGTCTCCAACTCCTGGCCTCAAGTAATCCTCCTGCTCGGCCTCCCAAAGTGCTGGGATTATAGGCATGAGACACCATGCTTGGTTTGATGTTTCTGAACTTTCTCTGGAGACATGGATACCTTTAGAATTTAATAAAAGCTATGGACTCTTTCTCTGGAATACTGTCCTAGATAAACTTGCCTACAATGTTCAGGGAGTTTATGAATACCCAATGATCAACTCTGTATAAAGATCTAAGGGCCTCAAGGAAACAACAGCAGCTGAAGAGGTCTAGGGGAAGAAAAGAGTCCATCTCCCACAACTTCAAAATTTACCAGCACTGACATTTGTAGGTTCTACATCAGGGTTCTCAATTTCAGCACTCTTGTCATTTTGGACCAGATAATTCTTTGTTGTGAAGGGTTATCCTGTAAGATATTTAGCAATATCTCTGGTCTATCCACTAGATGCCAGTGGCCCTAGTGGAGATAATAAAAAATGTCTCTAGACATTGCCAAATGTTTTCTTGAAGGGTAAAATCATCTCTAGTTCAGAACCACTGGTCTAGACAATGATTAGAAGTCATTTCTGAAAAGAAGGGCTATTTCACTGTTTGTACCACATAAGTGGTATTATTATTTTATTTACATGTCTTCCATATTTTAAATTTCATCTGAGTATGCCTTTTCTTCCAACTAGACCAAAAGCAGCTTAAAGTCACCTTCTTTCATATTCCCTAATATTTAGCATAGTGCCAGACACATAGTAAGTACTTAATAAACACTTAATTGATCTGTCTTTAGGGAGGGATTCTTACTTTAAGCCAACTGTTTGATCTTTCATGTTTGGAACATATTCTCTCCAACAGAAAATGAATCAAAACTGTAAGATTTAAATAAATGGTCTTTATCCCTAAGTGGTTCATGTGGTTAAAAAAAAGGGAAAAAACCCAAAACCTATAGCTCCAGAATAATTCATTAAATATTTATTCTTAGGAAATTTTTTTGGTACTTAGTTGGTTTACAACAATAAAGAAACAGTATCTTCAATTAGACACACATAGTCTTAATTTTTTTTGCCTGGCTCTCACTTAATACACCAAAATAGTAGAATAACAAACATACTGCAATGAATTAACACACCATCATGATAACTTAAAAAATGCTTTGTTCTCATTGTCATCATGAGGTCATTTAAATCTCTTGCCACAGATTACAGTTGTTTATGTTCCAAGTCCTTAAAAATATGCCCATCCCAGAAGCCTCTTGGCATATGCACAAGAACATTCTTCAGAGACAGTTTTAGCCTCATTTGAGAGCAGCCACTATGTGACTGAAAAACAACTTCATAAAAACTTTTTTAGTTTTGCACAAATTTATTTTTAAAAAATTTTAAGTGTATAGCTAAGGACTGTCGAATTAGTTAAAAATAACATCAATAATCCTACAAATAAACAAGGGGCAAAAACCCCTTTCAAAGTCAACTATGAACACAGATGACTCAATTATGACAATAATAACTGTGAAGCATAATCCATTCAGAATTATTTTGGCAGACTGCATGTATATTAAAATACTTTTAAATATCCTTACGAAGTCCTTATAAAATACGGGTAAATATTCCTCCTGACCTTATTCATTTGAAATATTTGAAAAGTCTTCAATGGGCAGGACATGAATAGCTTAAAATAACTACACTAGGTACTACAATTGACTTTGTTCATAAAAACACAATGCATGTTTTAAGATTTCTGATACAGGCTGAAACTAGCACTCTATTTAAATGACGACTTAGGATCCATGGAGAATATTCATGAACACTATGGCTCAATCTTTTTTTTTTATGGTTGTATGTTATAAATCAGACTGTGTAACACTCAAGTCCAGAAGGAGCTTTTAAAATGAAACTAGCTACCACCCGTGTCACCAAAACTCCAAACTTGGAATTCACTCTGGGTACAAGGCCAATTATAGAGGAAAACCACCAGCCATGCCACAAGGAACACTGTCACCAAAGACACTCGTTCAAACTGGCCCAAGGAACACTGTTACCTGGCGTGTTATCCCAAAGGATCTGGGGAGAAGGATACATTTACTCATATAACAGCGGTCATAGGAATACTTGTCCAGATGAATAAAAGGGGTCTTTGCCAGTGCCATTTTTTTCCTCTATGGTAAGGTAAGGTGACTATGTACACAGGGTATACATAAAACATACTGGATGAGCCAAATTATCAACTTTGTAATGAGAAAGATGAAGATTTGAAGTGTGCCTAGCATGTAGCACACTCCTCATAAATGCTGAATAAAAGAGCAAATGAAGAGAAAAATGAGTTAAATTTTTCCCCAACCTTATGGACAAGGAACAACAATGCATAAAATTAAAAAGGAAAATAACTACTAGCCTTGCAAACAATAGTGAACAGCAGAAATGATCAATCAGCCCGAGCCAACAGATGTTCTTTGGCTACATTTAATACTGTTATATCTATCATATGGAAACAACACATATAGCTAATAAGGATAAGAGGGCACAGGCAAGCTGCTAGATTGAGAATTGTTTCTCATACAACTGTTAATTCTGTATCTCTCAAAACATTCAATGACGTATCCATAGAAGATATGCCCAAAGTGGGCAACAAATGAGCAAAGATTAATACTTTTTATTGTTGACTGTTTAAAACCTTTTTGAATGGGTAGGAATTGTTTTATATTTGTCTTGAATTTGAGCTTATACTCTCACCTCTTCC